ATATTCTCTTTTATCTTATTGGTCTTATTTATAATTATATCTTCATTTGTTTTCGTTTTATCAAAAATTATTATGCAATCATCCACATACCTGCTGTAAAATTCAATACCTTCTATATTTTTGATCTTTTCATCTATTTGTATCATTGTTATTTCGGCCAATTTTGGACCTATACATGTACCCATAGGTATTCCTTCTGTTTGGGTGTAGAATTTCTTATCGTACTGAAAATAATTATTTTTCATTACAATTAGGCATAATTTAATTATCCAATCTGGTGTATTTATTTTTCTTAAAGAATTTTCTATATCTTCTATTGTTATGCTAGGATACATGTTTACAACATCAAGTGTTATCAACTTCATATTTTCATTAATTGTTATATTTTTTAATCTATTTAATAAGTCATGTACATTTTTATACTATATTGAGAAACTTCTAATAAATTTAATTTATCCTTTAAATATTTTTCTAAATTATAATATACATAATTTTTAACGTCTATTAATGGTCTATATTTAGTAGGATTTTTATGTGTTCAGTAAGTTTTTCTCAAATAAATATAACAAATTGGCTAAAAAAAAAATAGGATACCCAACTTTAAAAGAAAAAGAAGAATTTGAAAGAAAATTAATATTAAACATGACAGACGTACATATTACAGAAGGCCGCTATATTGAATACATGCCATATTCTCAGGAAATTCCTAAATACAGACACTGACACTGACACACTTATTTAATTTAATTTTAGTTTTGTTTTGGTTGCTATGCCTTGACTCTGGTCCAGCGTAGTACACAGCCACCGGTGTGAACAGAGTATAACCCACTAAACACAACAATAATAATATAAACATGAAGATAAACAGCATGTCTTGTGAGTACCTCACAGGTTGCCAGATAGGTTTTATAAAAAGTAAAACCAGAATTCCTCAAAATGTACCCCAAATTATTTTTAAAATGGCCCAAAAAGTAGTAAGATGCCCAGATGTAGTAGCTTAGAGTCCTACAAATATCTTAATTTACTACTCATAGCTCAATCTTGAAATCCTGTGAACCAGCCATATTTTATGAGATAAGAGGAAAAAAGGATGGTCCATGGGTAAGGTGACACCCAAAAATGTATTACTGTAAAAGCAAAGCCATATTATAGTCGTTACAAAGAACGACTATAATATGGCTTTGCTTTTACAGTAATACATTTTTGTATACTATACAGTAACACTGTATAGTATAGCCTTGCATCTATAAAGTATTTGCAACTATACAGTATCTTATAGCATGGAGACACTTTGAACTAAATGAACAATCATATCACAGTTCAGCAGAATTTTCACTTTGAACTAACCAAATTCCTTACCATGTAAATCTATATCTCCATCCAAGATAAAAGTACAGTTACAAACTAACAGGATTTCGAATTAATGAGGATTTTCTGTATAAATATTGTCATGTAATTACTCTTTTTGAAAGTAAATTAATTTGTTCAAAATTTAACAACTTACACACTTGACCTAGTTTCATGGCACTACAGTCAACAGTTGATGAAGTAATTTCTAGTTAAGTGGAGAGTTTAGTGTCTCTGTATTATATTCTGTAGTAGGTACAGTACAATGCTGCACCTTCTGCTTTTTCGTTTTCATTTTGGATAATCAACTTTCTACTGTATAAAATATTAAGAATGTTAGTACCAACGGTGTTATCAATAATTTATAAGTGATGACAAAAAATTTGACAGAATTTTTGTATAATTGATGATAAATCTTTTTATTTTGAAGGTTTATCAAAGAGCAGATTTAAATCGAATCTTGATATCTTATGCAGTAGGTGCATTTTGCCACATTAATCAAGATGTCACAAGTTATAATTATACAGAGGGTGCTCAGACAGCTCTCGCTATGATTGAATATGAAAGAGAACGTACGTATCGGAGAATAATAATTTATTTATTTATTTATTTATTATTTTTTAAATAATTTCCTCATAGATAATGCATTTTTCAGATGATGACTGTCCAATGTATTTCGATGATGGTTCAAATCCTTACTTGCCAGTTGCAGAACAAGTTACAAGATTATTTAGTTCTGGAACAATGATTACTAAAGACATAATAGCTCTAATGTTAAATGTAATATTATTATTTGTGATTACAAGAAGGCAGCTTGTATGAAAAAATAATTTTAGATATCACTGTATACAGAAATATTCCTTATATTTTTAATGCAACTTTTGCAAATGTTCAGTGAACAACAAATTTCATTGGAGGATGAAAAGAATCTGAAATTTTAATCAGGGTTTTTATATTCTTTATAAAATTTGGGAATGGTAATTTTTTATACAAATATACTATTTTTTTTTTTTAAATATTTCTTATTACAGTACAGTTTACAAAAAATACTATGCTCAGTAACTAATACTTAAATTATTTTTATTAATATAATGATAGGATAATTTATCAAATTATAATTTAACATATTCTGATATAACAACGCATTTAGTTTTTTCTAATTATATTTTATTCATTTAATTCATAAAACAACTATTTTTAGTTTTATTTGTTTCCATTTATTTTTATGTACAGACTGCATTTTGGAATCTACACAAGTAAATTTGGATTATTTGAAAAGTCTCATTAAAAATTGAGTGTTTAAAACAGCATAAAATAATTTTTATATAACATAACACTTTATGCAACCAGCATGTCAATAGAGAAAGTATTAATGATTGTTGAAGATCATTGTCCTTTGCAATATTATTATTAACAAAAGTTTTATAGTTAACATTATGTGACATTGTGACATTGTTTCTGAAATGATTTTAAAATTATTTATGTCAATTAATTAATAATATCAATCATTCCTGCAACTTTATCAGCCATTATTATTTTTATATAATAGATTCTTCAACATTTAAAATGTGGGCCAATTTTATTAAGATTTTTAGATGTAGAATCATTTATACACACATCATGAATTGTTAGATCTGATTCTTGTAAATATAGCTTGAAAAGTTTAGATGTTTAAAAAAAGAATCTATATTTTTTTAAGTAAGAATTGAAAGTATGAGAAGAATTTATGATTTCATATATGATAGAATTTGCACATTTAAAATAAAAACAAAACATATTTTTTTGTTACTTCTAGAAAAGTATTTAAATATTAAGTAAATTATATAATCATAGTATGTGTTTCATAACATTTTAAAAAATAATTTATAGAATTGCTAAGAAATGTGAATATTTTTTGAAATATTTTCATATTTTTAAATGAAACTTTAGCATTTATATTTGGTTGTGATTTTGTTTTTCTAGTATTAAATATATTATATAAGTTCTGTTTATATTTAATATATTAATTTTATTGAAGAAATAATAATTTCTTTAATATAATTAAAACCTTTAAATATTATTAAATAAATCTGTAAAGAAATAAAATCTTTGCATTTTCTAATTTACAGAATAAAATTTCTTAAAAAAATTATTTATATTTTTTTTGTTGACTTTACTTTTTTATTGAATCATTCATTTTTATTTCTAGAAGTGTCACTAAACAATTGTTAAAAATTCAAGTACTGTTTTACTTGAACAATGATGTAAATAAAGCTTATGCAATGATAAATAAGCTTTGTACACAGTAATGCAGTTTTAATTCTATGGTACTCTTTCATATAATTGACTCTTACATGATTAGAAATTAAAATCTTTGTATCATGATAAATAATGTCATAGAAAAAATGTAGATACCATGACTGATTTTTATTATTAACTTACTTTTAAAATTTATAGTCATAAATAACTAGCCAATCACTATGCTTCAAAGGTAATTTACATAGTGATAGAACCTGGCAAGAGTTGAGAGTTACAGATAAGATAAACAGTAGTGTAGTCAATCATTAGTGCTTGTGTTTTTATGGAAGAATACAAGCATCTGAAATAGAACATCCTGTCCCTTTTGTAATTCTTAATTACATAAGGGACTGGACCTATGGAAATTCATTGATGCATGACAAAAGTGTATGGATAACACACTAAGCCTAGCACAATATCCAAGGCCATGTATCTATCTTGTTTTTACTGAGTTGAAGAAAGTGCTAAAAGATAGATATTTCAAATCCAAACAAAATACACAACATATCATCTACACTTGGCTTTGTGGATGTTCTGAACATTTTTTTAAAACATGGAATCACAGGGCTTGTGGGACAGTGGTATGAAAGCTTCAACAGCCAGAACAATTGGACTTTGAACTCACATTTGAGTTATAAATAAACACTTGGCTTTATTTCCATCATTTTTAGCTGGTAAGATAAGATTTTATCTTCCTGCTTCATTGGTCCTCAACTAAAAATGATGGAAATAAAATCAAGTGTTTATTTATAACTCAAAAGTGAGTTCGAAGTCCAATATATTCACAAAACACGGTTTCGAAAACAACAAGCCAGAACAATTATTTATAAACTGAAATGCAGTCATTACATTGTATTGTCATTGGATGGTTATTCATTGATCACTCCTTATATACATATGGTGTAATCTAGAAAGGTCAGGCCAGGCATCTATAGAAATTTTAAATTTCTCTACTTATTAGTAACAGAAGTTATACTGGAAAATCTTTTTCTATTAGTTTTTATTAAAAATGCAAGCAATATATTAAAAAATCAAGAAGTAAAAATATCTGTTCAACTGATTATTTTAACACATGGTAAATTAAGTTAACTATTATTATTTTTACAGTTAGTTAAAGATTGCAAATCTCAACCTTATACATATAATTTATTAGTTATATAAGTTAAAAAAAAATGAACTTGTTAACAATGAAAATTTAATGTTTATAAAATTACAATATTTAGTTTATAGTTAGCAAAATTCTGTTAGTTTAATTAACACTAATACATTAAGTGATACAACAATAAATGCAAAAAATTTTATTTTAAACAGCAAAAGAATTAAACAAACTTTTATCTGACAGAAAAATTCTTAATTTTTAACTTACAATCCCAATCAAACTTATTTGCTAATGTTATAAGGAAAAATTGTAAATTATCTAACATCATTTTACCAACAATATGTAGCATTACCTGGACATAATGATTTAATAACCACTTTTTTTTTAATTCACCAGATTGTAAATGCCGTTTTGACAGACTTGTTGACATAAGCAACAAAATAAGAACCCAGCTATCAATTTTTTTAAATGGATATTAATTTTGAATGTAGTGTGTGTGTTTTTCACCCTTTCAACAAAACACACACTCCAAAATAAAAAAAATTAAAATGACTCCAGAAAATGATGTTTCGCTCAATTCCTCACAAGTTAATTTTAAACAGCATTCTAAGCAAACAAATTCTTATGTTTCAGATAAGCTCTCGATGTTTATTTTGATTGTTTAACCCTAAATTTCTTTGTCAACAGAAGTCTTACTTTTTTTTCTTTCAAGTTCATTCATTAAAATTAATAATTACAATGTTGTAATTAATATTAAAGGTGTGATTAATTAGTATTGAAAAAGGTTTCAATATTTGAATGAATTCTTGTATACAAAATATTAAATGAGTAAAAACAAATAGTAACATAAAATTAAAAAGAAAATTATTGTTAATTAACTAGATTGTGTATATAATTTAAAAATACTTTTAGGAACAAGACCAATAATTCCTTGTTATTGAGATGATTCTCTACTTCGAAAGAAAAGCATAAAAAAATGAAATAACATAAAGCTTGAGTAAAAACTATTTGCTTGTTTATTAAAAGTGTACATAATAAACTAAAACAAACATTCTTGTAGGTTATCAGCTGCCAAATAGATCCTATTGTTGGTTTCCTCACTGATCTTGCAGGGTACAATATTTGGTAAAGAAATTATATAGTCTTGTTATGATAATGGGACCCATTTGAAATAGAACTTCATAAAATTCCTCCTTCAATTTGCAAAATGACAGAATAATTTGGAATTTCTACATTAAGTTTTCCACAGCCCAAACATGAACAAATCAGACAATAGACTGAAAATTGTTCTTGATACAATTGAGCAAAAATACTTAATTTCAAATTTAATGGTTTTTTTTTTTTTTTTATCTATTTAATGCTAAATTTTGTGCTTGTCAAAATTTGGTTATTGATACCAGCATGCAAATTTTATGTAGTATAAAATATGATTTTCTAATGTAAGCAAAAATTAAATTTGGACCTATGGAAATTCATTGATGCGTGACAAAAGTGTATGGATAACACACACTAAGCCTAGCACAAGATCCAAGGCCATGTATCTATCTAGTTATTTTATCTATCTGGTTATTTTATTTTCTTTTTTATGATAAAATATAACAAATTTTGTGATAAAATTTTAATTACAATGTATAATAAAATAAAAATTGAATAATAAATAAATACAATTTTTAAAAATATAGAAGAAACTATTTTTTAAAATTGTAAAAATACTGTCTGCCTTTCTAATTGAAATAAATTAGTTACAAAATTAAAAAAAAAAAGCCACATCATATTATCCAAATCCTCACTATGACAGATTATTATTCCTTAACACCCATTGCAATGTCCAAATTGAATTATCCTGAATATGAATTTATGATTATTATTATTTTATGAATTTCTTCAGATTGTAATTGTATAAAATTCAAAGTTTGTAGTAAAAGTGGGAAGTGGGAGGTAGGTAGTGAACCTATTCAAATCATCTCTACATTTGTTTCAGTGCCATTATGTCTGTCCTAATACAGTTGTGATTTTTGTCACAAATTTCGGTATAATATTACAAGCTTATTCTTAAAAGTTTATTACAATAGTTTTACTTTATTTTTAATGCTCTAATTTTATACAGTAAAAATTTTAATTTAAAATATTCTTTATCATTACAACATTGCTGTTTACTACATATTAAAGAAAACAGTTTATTTAGAAGCTCTATTAGAAATTGTATACAAACTTATGTAAATGCTTATAAATATATCCTTTAATGATCTTATGTGCTTATTACTAAAGTAAGTAAAGTTTGTAATGTTTAATATCCAGCTGAAAACATTGATATGTAAACAGACTTTTTCTGTAGTGCTTTACTCTCATTTGGAAAATTAGTTGAGATTTGTATGGATTAGGAAAAAGTTAGAATTTTTCTCATAAATAATGGGAAACATTTTGAGATATCTAAATTCACAATATTTGAATCATTTTCAGGAATGCATTGATTTAGTTAACAGAGTATGATTTATACTAAAAATAAAATAAAATATGTACTTAAAAAATTTTTAATTGTGTATTTTGAAGATGTAAATAACAAATTAAGAAAACAATTTTTGTTCTTTTTCTCAAATAAAATTTAATAACAATAAATGATCCATTAAAAAATTATCTCATATTTTTTTAGTTGATGATTTTACCTTCTCAGACAACTTTTTATTTTTTAGTAATGATTTTTCAGTTGTTATTACAGTAGTAATAGTTTTTACTTCTTTCATTATTATTTTTGGTTTGTCAGTTCTTTGACACCTTTTAGAGGCTGATGGAATGTTTTCTTCTGTTTTCAGTTTATTTGCTGATTCTGCTTTTGCTAGATATGATACTGAAGGTTTACAAGATGGCTGGCTACCTGTAAGAAAAATAAAATTAAAAAAACAATAAAAAAACATTTTATACTATTTTTCTAGTTTTGATGAAGTATATTGCAAAAATATTGGTTTTAATTATGAAAGAAGTTATTTTCTTATTCTTGAAAATTAAATCACCACCATATTCTCCTTTATGTATGTTATGTCAACAATATTTTTATCACGTGACAACAAAAATCCTATAGTCAAGATTTCTTGCATAAAATCAACACCTAATCCATGGCCTGTCTCTGCCTAGAACAGGACAGTGAGCAAGAAGTTTGCTTCCTGGATCTCTGGATTTCCTTATCCAACAGACATATCTCAATTAAAGTCTGTAGGAAACCTACCCACCTGATCATCCCTGCCCCTTCCCATGATCCTTTTATCTTCAAGATGGCTGGCTTCTGTGCCCTAATTCGTCGTGCCTTCACTCATTTGTCTGACACTCAATTTGGACTCCTTATCTTTATCTCATTGTCTGATACACTAGACCAACAGTTGCCAACCTTTCTGACCTCAGACTACTAAACTCACAATTTTGAATCTCACAAACAACTATTGTAAATTTTTTTAAACAATACAGACATCTATAAAATAATGATCATAAAAGTTCTATTTTACTTTAATTTGTTACAGTTAAACAAGTGAATTTCATATTAATTAATAGTGTGAAGTTTGACGCTGTTTATTTGAAATAGGGATTGTAAATTTACCGACTTTTTCATTTACCGGTAATTCGGTAAATGAAAATTAAAATACCGGTTTACCGGTAAATTACCGGTAAGTTTTTTTCTTGAAAAATAAAATTAAGGTAATAAAAAATATAAGTCATTATGATTTCCATTTCACATTTTTATTTCAAAGATATCAAATATAAAAAATATATAAATTAAAGTGTTATTCTAAACAAACTATAATAATAAATATAAAAATAAACAGAAATAAAATAATACAGAAAAATAAAAATACAACAGAAATAATATATAGTACCTAACACCATTTTATTGATTACCATTTTTTAAAATTAACTTCTCAAGAAACTTAAATTATTTATAGTCTTATCTCCTAATTTTGATCTAATTTTTGTACAAAATAATCCAGATCCCGAGAATACCCTTTCTGATTTAACACTTGTTGGACGAATGGTCATTAAATTAAAATTAAACAAAAAGTATTTCACATAAAATTAATAATGAGGTATATTGTTGCTTACACTTACCTGTTTTTTTTTCGATGTCTCTTTAGCCCATTTAAATATCTATAAACACAATATTTTCTACATAGAAATTTCTAGTATGGATTTTTCATTTACCGAATTACCGGTAAATTTTTGAAATTTACCGGTAAGTTTACCGAATTTTTTTTGTCAATTTATCGGTTAACCGGTAAATCAGTAAACCGGTATACAATCCCTAATTTGAAATAAGTTTATGGATTCTTGGCTCTTTTCCATGAAGGATGACACACACACTCACATTATTTATTTGATTTATTGACATTATTATTTATTGATAAGTCATTTTATGTTTAGTTTTACATTTGAATAAAAATCCCCAATGAATGAGAAAAAGCAACTAAGTATTTTGCATTTCTTTTGTAATACTTTGTGTAATGTTGAGTTGATCAATGTCTGAATTTCTCCACAGACCACCGGACTAGATCACTGCACAGACTACAAGGCTACTCTCCACACACCATTAAGGCTAATGTCAGATGAGTGTTACAAATTGAAAACACTCGGATGCTGTTTTTTCGATTTGTGGACATGAAAATTCATGCAAAGAAGGAAGTGGTCAGACGAGTGCTATTTTTCACAGAGTGCATTGGTATTCAGTTTCATTTCAGATGTGTATATGTCAACATGGATCTCATAGATTGTGATTGAATTTGTAATTCCCTAATGTCTCCAATTCTTGAGTCATGTTAGAATGACAACATGACAACATTGTGTTCTTATAGCAAGGTGCAGAACACCATGTTATATGGGGGATTTCCTCAATTCTCAAAACTTGTTACAACATAACATTCCTACAATATGGTTTTGCTCTATGAAGAATGTATGTATGTATATATGCATATATATACACACACACACACACACACCAACTGTTAGAGGAAATGCTATAAAATACAAAGACACTACTGTCATCTCACTAGTATGGAGATCATAGTATGAAATTTCTGACATAAGAGAATAGTTTATGAACACCATAAATTGTATTGAAGTGGCTTTTTACCTTGGAATTAGCTAAAATTTTTCTGTATTTTATTTAATGTGGTTAACTGTATTAACCACATTATGTTATATACCACATATGTTATTCACTTTGTAGTGCCCTGCTACTATTGTTGTATTTTTGTATGTATCATGTACATTTTTCCTTTATCCTCCTTTTATTTTTATTCTGTGTCAGGTTTTACTTTATGTATGGAATTTCATGGTTTTCCATCCCTTTCATACCCTGGTGTCATCTTTTTCTTGGGTTTTGTATTGGCAATTGTTGGTTGGTCAAGAAGAATATCACATGGGTAAGAATGTATTTCCGGATGGCGGGTGATATAAATTGTGGTGTTAACACCCAAAGAAGAGTCTTTTTCGTTTTCTCCGGCTACATAGGAGATAAGATACAGTGATGGGATTATCAAGATAGCGACTAACGAAGAGACTTAGATTACCTCAGTCTATTCCTTAATTATGTACATCCAAAAGGGTTGAGTGAGTTCAACTGAAATAGTGCATGGCACGTGTAAAGGAGTCTAAGAAAATAGCCCTGAGAGTATTATTATTTATTTTTTTTAAAGAAAGAAAAGAATTTTATTTATCAACCACACCTTGAAGATGTCCGTGATCAAGAGGTCGCTCTTAACATGAGTTGAATCATTTGTGTTTTAAAGTCGAGAGAGCGAAGACAAAGCCACTTGATTGTTTCAACTGTGTATATAATTGTAATCTGTGTGAACTTGAATTTGTTACGTGTTCGCTGTTATTTGTTGTTAATTGTACTTTCCTGTACCCACACCATATGTGTACAGAACCTTCATGATCTTTGTTTTTTATAGTTGTGAAATTAAACTGTTTTGTTGTTCCTATTGTCATACAGGTTGGTAAATTTGTTAAGTCCTTATTTTATTACCCATCAACACACACTGTATATCTCGGTATATCAGGGTCTCTACAACTTCAATAATTAAACTTTAAATGCTACATGTAAAGTTCTATAATTTAAACTGCATTTAGGAATTCTATATTCCATTAAGTATTCTATTATTCTTCAAACTTTGAATCTTAAAAAAAAAGCCTGATGACAATTAAAAATGGTTCTGAATGAAGACTGTAAAGATTAAACATTGTTGCTGATTTTAAAGGTTTTGTGAATGAATTTATTATTATATTTTGTCTTCAAAAGTCAATCATTTAATATTTAATTAATTACAATTAAAAATAAAAGTTACTTACTGCATTCACTTTTACAAATTTGCCTTTGTTGAGGTATTGATTTGCATCCTTTTTGAACAGAATTTGTACTTGACTTCATAGTTTTTTCACTGCAGTTTCTTTGAATAGTATTTTTATCAGATACAGCACTTTTTAAGGATTTTGTTGATGCCTCATTAAATTTTTGAACTTCCATGTTCACTTTTTTTTGTGCTTGAGAAAGTTTTTCAGGATTAATTGGTTTTTGACATGTAGGAAGTCTTTGAGGAAGAACAAATTTTTTTCCTGTATTTAATATTTTATGCATTTCTTTTTCTATAACAGTCTTAATGTGTCTTTTACTTCTAAAATGGTCATCAGCAACATGCCAGAGTTTAATGTTCACATTACATTCTGGACATTTTAAGTAATTTACACTAGCTAGAGTAACCGACGAACCAGATGTAGAATTCAAACATCTTAATCTTTGAATAAATTCATATTTTCTTTCAATTTCTTCTTCTTTTACCTTCTCTTCATGACCTTTAGTTAAACAATGTTCTATAAATAATAATGGATTATCATAAGATTTTCTACAACATTTGCATTCATATTTTCCAACTATTTTTTCGGTTGTTCCGTGCTTCGTTTTTAAATGATCTCTGTAAGGAAGTATTCCACTAAAATTTTTATCACAGCAATTGTATAAATATTTTGGCATTCTGAAAAAATAAATAAATAAACTTATTATATATGAAATAATATTACTTTTGTAAATGGAAATTAAATCTGGTCTGGAAGATAAGCACCAATATCAAAGGCAAATGACATTGGTGCTTATTGGTGCACTGTATAGAGAGATTTTATTACTAAAAAGATATATAATTCAGCTAATCAAAGTAAATCATATAAAACTGATAATTGCTATGTTAAAGATAAAATATATGCTATATATTTCTAATCTGATAATCTAATTTAAAAAACTGATTTATAAAAGTTTATTAGAAGTCATCAAATTTTTAATAATAATTTGAAATAAAATTTTAGTTTTTTGTAATAAGCCTAAGTTACATTTAAAGTTATATATTTTACTACAGTATATATGCTGTTTCACATTTATATACTACATTTCTTAATACAGTATCCTCTCATTATATCATGAATGTTGAGACAAACCATATGAGCAATACATCAAATGGTGTAATATAACCGATCCATTCTCCTATTTGTCTATTTTCAATTTCTGTGGCAACTTGCATTTTTGTGGGTTGTATTCCATACAATGGTAATTTTAAGGTCAATGAATGGAATAGGGTAATATTTCTTTGCCAGTAGAATTTCAATGGAAGCCAATTTTTAAAAAATTGGCTGAAGTGCTTGTATACCTGAAAGCCAAAAAAAAGCACGATACATCCAAGTGAGCAATACGACAGGGCTACTGTATAATACAAAGCTAGAAGTTATAAATATAGCATATACAGTATTTAGAGAAACTATCAAAATTTAAATTGTTCATAAAAATTTTTAAATAGATACTTACAATTTTTAATTAATACATTTTAATTAATAAAATGTCAGACATAAAACTTTTCTAAGATCATTAATTAAACTTGTCTTCAAATAAAACATACTTCTGACGTTTCATATATTGAAAAAATAATATTAATGAAGTTAAGATGCAAATAATTTAGGAATTTTTATAAAATTTAACTATACATGAGGCCATAGCAATAGATCCATTTGGTCCAGCTGTCACCGGACCACTTTTTGCCAATAACATTAAAATGTAATTTCAATGCAAGTGTGGAACACCATCAGGTCAAACTAATAGACATTTTCTTACGGAAAAGGGTTATTCCTAAAGGTGTTGTGTGTTTTACTACAGAGGAAGAAAATATCTCTAAGCAAAAAAATTTAGAAATTAAAAAAGTTGAAATAACAAGGAGATCATGGCAACTAATTTCCCCTAACTGTGGCACTATAATATATGAAGTAATGTATAGAAAGTGTAATTTTCTTAGTTCTTAGTTTGTAATTTATATAATAAAGACAATGAGAGAAAAATATGAAGAAAATAAATTATAAAATATAAATTACAATGAGATACATAATAGAATTAAAATCATACTTAAACTGCCCTATAAAATACCTCAAAATAAACACAAAAAACTGTTTATTAAGTTAAATATAACCATTCATTTCCTTTCTGCTAAAAAGTTTTTTTGTGGTATTTATTTCTTGTTAAATAAATAGAAATAGAAAATTTTTAACTTTAAAAAATTATTAGATATAAATTTAAAAGTTTAGTTTTATCTTTTTAAAAATAGATTTTATCTCAGTATCTCGTAGTAATAAAATGTTTTGTAGAAAACGTAATTATATTAGTTAAAATGTTTAATTAATTAATTAACTTATTAAACTTACATTAGACGAAGCTAAAATGCCGTCATTCATCAAATATATAAGCACGAAATCTACACGAATAGTCTGATTCAAGACTTCATTCACAACTGAACATCAATCTATACATGCTGTGTTTTCTGTTTCGGTTTCGGTTTACATTGCGATTGCGTCACAAATACTTTCTATTTTCACGCTTTATAATGAGTGTATGCAATTCTATTTTGGCATATTCCTACAGTAAAATGCAAAATTCATATAGAGAATCTCTGTTCTGATACACAAAAACTGATTTTTATTCTATATATACGCAAAATAATTATCTGGATTTATTTAAATTATTCACATCAGTAAGTTACTGTCATCTTAAACAGGAATTTTGTATAAAATTATAACGACAAATTAGAAGTGTTTTGATTACGACATCCAATCGTAGTATATTATTAAGAATTCAGAATATTCTGAAAAATATTAATTTTTTCACATTTAGAAATATGAAAATGTACGTTTTTTTTATCGCGCTATTATAATAATAAGTTTACCTCAAAGATTGTAAGTTCACTGTTTTCAAATAATTAAATATAAGTCCTATACGAGTCTGTACATTTCGATTTTCTGGATTAATTAATTAATCGTGCTTTGTCGTTTTGTCTGGGTTCTCTTCTATAGCATAATTGTTATCTTTATTCCGTTAGTATCGAATTATATAGTAATAGAATGATAATATGATACAGACTTTAATCTTTTGATTAAGAGAGAGAGGTGTATTTTTNATATATAAATGGAGGAAAAAGTATGGCGATCGGTCAAAAAATGATCCCCCAAATTTTTAATTTTTAAAAGTATTATATTATAATGTGTAGCGTACTAACTTGTAAAGTTGCGACCAGCGTAATGTTGCAAACATGTGGCTCGAGGATTGAGTATCGCCAATGTATAATTACTGTTCATATTCCGGTCAAATCAATAAGATTTAGAACTTAAAATGTTATCGAGCAGTCATTATTTTAGCAAGTTGTGTGTGTACAGTATATCACGAATCCGTGTACAATAGTGCGGTATTAATTATTGGTCCTATATCAAATGATCGCGATATACGGATGTGGCGGTACGCCATGTCTTTGTAAATAGGGGTAGATATAAGTTTTATTTCTCCTAAATTCCTTTGTCTTTAACGTCTGTTTCTAGAACTTTCTAACCTATTCTTTTTCTACGGGTGGGGGACAACCTTTGTCCAAGGATGAAGGGAAAAGACAAAGGGGATACTAAGAAGCCCTGAGGCCATCAGTAAAAACGAACAAGACACTTTTGGGTCAGCGTCCGAGGTGTACAGATGTAAGAAAGAGCAAGCTAAAGTTTTTCGCCTAGTGGGACAAAAGAAGGCTTGGAAGTTGTCTGCGAACGGACGAAAATTAGAACACCCACATTAAGACTTCAAAAACGCTCTTGAATTCTCAAGAGACGGAAACAAGAGGAAGGAAATTGACTCAAGTACCGATATAGAGAAGATCGGAGACTGCCAAATTTACCCGGGTACCCCACAAAATCTGTCCTTTTTCCTTGTCTCTTCCCTTCATATTTCTTATTTTTTTCACCCTTCTTCCTTAGAATATAAGTTAGGGTGTGACTATGCAGACGCGAATTTAGAGCGAGCGATTTAGTTTTCGGGAAGGAAAACCATGCACAAACGAGAAGCGAGAAATAACGCTAGCGAGAGCGAATTTCTGATTCTCGCACATATCTGACAGGTTTTGATATTTATCGCGTCTCGCCTCTTCTCGCTCGCTCGCGTCTGCATAGTCGCACCCTTAGATTAAGGTAGATTTAAGTTAGTTGTAATCTCTCAAACCATAATTTTTACATTGTCGCGAACACGTGTCTCTTGCCTGTGAAAGCATAAAGCAGTGTTTCTCAACGGGGGCGATAACGCCCCCATGTGGGCGTTTTTCCATGTTGAGGGGGCGATTTGTAACAATTTATATTTTGGGGGGAGAAAAACAATTTTCTGGGCGATATAGTAAAACATTATATTAAGAATAATTAGATATTTTATTCGTTATATCGTACAATAATTAAACAAACATTATACTAGTCACTAGTCTATTCGATACAGTATGAATTTGGCGTTAGCGTTGTCCCTGGCATCGGAATTTTGAAGTGAAGGGGGCGATACGTACTACGTAACGGTTTTATTGAAGGGGGCGACAATTCGTTAGAGGTTAGAAACACTGGCATAAAGAATATGTCGGACGGCGTCGAACTTATGTGAGTACTATAGTTTGGGATCAAGTGTTTAGTGTAAACGAAACAGGTGTAAGAAGGAAACATCAGACGTCTTATGTTGCATCTGACTAATATTTATTATCATAATATATATCATGATAAAATTATTGTCGTTAGCGAGCGTTTTACCTTTGTTGCTTCATATAGTCAATAATAATAGTGAGTAATTTCTAATTACAATAAAAATACTATAGTATATTATGATCTATCACGTAATGTCTCCNATAAAATTTTAGTTTTTTGTAATAAGCCTAAGTTACATTTAAAGTTATATATTTTACTACAGTATATATGCTGTTTCACATTTATATACTACATTTCTTAATACAGTATCCTCTCATTATATCATGAATGTTGAGACAAACCATATGAGCAATACATCAAATGGTGTAATATAACCGATCCATTCTCCTATTTGTCTATTTTCAATTTCTGTGGCAACTTGCATTTTTGTGGGTTGTATTCCATACAATGGTAATTTTAAGGTCAATGAATGGAATAGGGTAATATTTCTTTGCCAGTAGAATTTCAATGGAAGCCAATTTTTAAAAAATTGGCTGAAGTGCTTGTATACCTGAAAGCCAAAAAAAAGCACGATACATCCAAGTGAGCAATACGACAGGGCTACTGTATAATACAAAGCTAGAAGTTATAAATATAGCATATACAGTATTTAGAGAAACTATCAAAATTTAAATTGTTCATAAAAATTTTTAAATAGATACTTACAATTTTTAATTAATACATTTTAATTAATAAAATGTCAGACATAAAACTTTTCTAAGATCATTAATTAAACTTGTCTTCAAATAAAACATACTTCTGACGTTTCATATATTGAAAAAATAATATTAATGAAGTTAAGATGCAAATAATTTAGGAATTTTTATAAAATTTAACTATACATGAGGCCATAGCAATAGATCCATTTGGTCCAGCTGTCACCGGACCACTTTTTGCCAATAACATTAAAATGTAATTTCAATGCAAGTGTGGAACACCATCAGGTCAAACTAATAGACATTTTCTTACGGAAAAGGGTTATTCCTAAAGGTGTTGTGTGTTTTACTACAGAGGAAGAAAATATCTCTAAGCAAAAAAATTTAGAAATTAAAAAAGTTGAAATAACAAGGAGATCATGGCAACTAATTTCCCCTAACTGTGGCACTATAATATATGAAGTAATGTATAGAAAGTGTAATTTTCTTAGTTCTTAGTTTGTAATTTATATAATAAAGACAATGAGAGAAAAATATGAAGAAAATAAATTATAAAATATAAATTACAATGAGATACATAATAGAATTAAAATCATACTTAAACTGCCCTATAAAATACCTCAAAATAAACACAAAAAACTGTTTATTAAGTTAAATATAACCATTCATTTCCTTTCTGCTAAAAAGTTTTTTTGTGGTATTTATTTCTTGTTAAATAAATAGAAATAGAAAATTTTTAACTTTAAAAAATTATTAGATATAAATTTAAAAGTTTAGTTTTATCTTTTTAAAAATAGATTTTATCTCAGTATCTCGTAGTAATAAAATGTTTTGTAGAAAACGTAATTATATTAGTTAAAATGTTTAATTAATTAATTAACTTATTAAACTTACATTAGACGAAGCTAAAATGCCGTCATTCATCAAATATATAAGCACGAAATCTACACGAATAGTCTGATTCAAGACTTCATTCACAACTGAACATCAATCTATACATGCTGTGTTTTCTGTTTCGGTTTCGGTTTACATTGCGATTGCGTCACAAATACTTTCTATTTTCACGCTTTATAATGAGTGTATGCAATTCTATTTTGGCATATTCCTACAGTAAAATGCAAAATTCATATAGAGAATCTCTGTTCTGATACACAAAAACTGATTTTTATTCTATATATACGCAAAATAATTATCTGGATTTATTTAAATTATTCACATCAGTAAGTTACTGTCATCTTAAACAGGAATTTTGTATAAAATTATAACGACAAATTAGAAGTGTTTTGATTACGACATCCAATCGTAGTATATTATTAAGAATTCAGAATATTCTGAAAAATATTAATTTTTTCACATTTAGAAATATGAAAATGTACGTTTTTTTTATCGCGCTATTATAATAATAAGTTTACCTCAAAGATTGTAAGTTCACTGTTTTCAAATAATTAAATATAAGTCCTATACGAGTCTGTACATTTCGATTTTCTGGATTAATTAATTAATCGTGCTTTGTCGTTTTGTCTGGGTTCTCTTCTATAGCATAATTGTTATCTTTATTCCGTTAGTATCGAATTATATAGTAATAGAATGATAATATGATACAGACTTTAATCTTTTGATTAAGAGAGAGAGGTGTATTTTTCTCGAGGAATTAATTATTTCGAAGTGATAATTTATTCTTCGACGAAAATATTTCGTATAAATCTACGACAAAGATGAAATGGAAAATATTCCCTCAAAAATTATTTATTTAATTATAAGCAAACGCCTATTCGGAATTATTCATATTTCACATAGAAATATTAATAATTCCGATCGACAGGCTTCCTATGAATAATTCATAGGAAATATGACGATCGAATGGTAGAGGCGATTAAGAAATCGAGGATCGATTCTGGGCGAGCAACCCTAGGAATTTTTCATGGACCGTTTGTCTCGGATATGTCGGGCCCAGTCCCTCACCCCGTAGGCCTCATTGTGGACCTGGAAGAACTCACCATGTGTATAAGCCTTATACCCATGGTGAATATTGTATATACCCATTTTTAGGTATTGCTTATAGTATTAAGATTGCTCTTATAGTATAAGGAAAATGACTCTTAGTGCCCACTAGGCGGAAATACAATACCTAAAACTTAAAAAAAAGGAAGGATAAACTTACTTTCCGGGAAATTGGTGATGTCACAGGAATTAAGTAAGCAATCTGATAAACTGTTGATTGCTGTATAATTTTTTGAATCCAGAATGCGTGATTGAGAGGACGCAATAAGTTGTTCTGCGATGGACAGAATGATAATGGTATCAGGGAATATGGAAATGTTATTAAATCGAATGAAAAATCAGTTTTCAGACGATTAACATTACTAATAAGTGGAAACAAAACAGAACAAAACAAGAAGAATGAATGATAAGAAAGATAAACATTGCATATCACTGTAGAATAGAGGCTATTCATCAAAAATTAAAACAGAATAGCCATGTTCTCAATGTCTTCGTTATCCGAGTACAAAATATAGTTTCATTCTCTATCTGACATCCACTGATCGAAAGGCACTATGCATAATAAATGCCAGCGTCCGTTATTTAGAGGTCTGGGAGGTGGTAAAAATATCCGTTAAGTAGTGTGTCCTCTAGTTTCACTGTAGCCTATTATGATTCTTGTTTACAATTCTGATATAATTTTAGAATTGTAAACGTTCGTAGCCAGAAAAATTTCCAGAACTCAGATTGAAAAAATATCAGTGGCGTGCCGTCATTAGAAGCGTTGGAAGCGCCGCTTCCCTCGTATTCTCTAAAAAATAAATAAATATTAATTTTAATTATATGAAAATAATCGCACAATATTTTATTATAACCGCATTATGTATCTTATTACAAATTTCTATACTACACGTGGAAAAAAATTGCTATTGTATATTAGAATATTAGTGGCAGAGTGTAATCTCCTGTATTTTCAGATTACGAAAAGCCAGATTTGCGCATGCGCTTTACAGAACACCAACCTCACCCGGTTTAGCCGGTGGAAGCCTACGACCTTGGGTGAAAGCTGCACACATATAAAGATTACAATT